AAGCATTTTAAACGATGTGGAGTCTGCAAGGGAAACATGCAAGTTATAAGTCAGTTTAATTTACTGAATTAACTTTTTTTAGCTTTTAAATCATGAGTGTTTTTTTATTACACTTGATTCGACATGTACTTTTCAAGTAGTTTCATAAAACACTTCAACTTCATCAGGCTGAAATTTGTAACTTCCTGCCAGGAATGATTTGGTGAAGGAGCTGCCATAACTGTGGCCAGATGGTGGACTGTAAGTGTTTCCAAGGTATGGATAGGATTTTGTGTTGGATGAGGCGTAGCTGGCAATGTGAAGATCGTGTCCGTTACCAAATGAGGGTCCACGGTCGTTACAATTGTACATGGAATATACATTATGGGAACCATACACTCCTGTTTGAGACAGTTTCACTGGTCCCCAGCCTGGCTTGTTAACCAATGAGAACAAAAAGGCCGATGAACTGTATCGGTACGCACAACTGGAAGCTAATTCAGAGAGAAAAATGACAAAAATTATTTTGTTCAAGTTTTAGACAGCCATACACACTCGGCTTTTTTCCCGTGGACACATTATTCCTTTTTTTTTTATTTTACAAGTATAAGGACTATTCTGTGTTATCTGCAAAATCACGTCTAAGTTTTAATCTAGTAACTTTCCAGATTGAGTATCTTGGGATTTTTAATCACACAATTCCTTTAATTATGCAGTTATTTCACCTATTTCCAACTGTGATGCTTCAATTATTTTGAAATAATTACCTTTAAGGTAATACCAGAAACTACAAGTCTCGTTTATTAGAGCACCGTGTTTAAACACGTGTTGATTCGCGCCTAGCCATTTCAGTTGCTCTTCGATGCTTAAACTAAATGCTTTGTTATCTAATTTTGGTGTAAAATAACATAACATACTTTATCTAAACATGGGGTTTGAACTTTATACAGTTTTATCGTTCCACTTACAAAACCACCAACTCGAAAACATGAAGGGCTTGTTTGATTATTTGTTTTCTTTTTTTGTTGTTGTTTTTGTTTTTCAAGGTAGAAACCAGATATACTCTCAGATTTTAATTTTAGCGAAGAGGAAAGGCAAGCAAACTTGATCACTCATGCACTTACTCCATGACGTGCTGGTGTATCCACCAGTGATGTATTTTCCCACACGGACAATGGTCACTGTCGGCCCTTTGTTGTCACACAATGAGTGGAAGGTAGAGGCAGCCCAACCATCCACTGATGCTCTCCAGCAGCGCTTCCAGTAAGAGGACTGGCTCTGCACAACAGGGCTTAACCAGCTGCTCAGGTATCCAAGGTAATTGTTATCGTTTGCCAATATTGCCGAATAACCCAGGCCTTAAAACAGGAAATAAGTATTATTTCACCGTTGACACCCAATTTTTTTCATTGCCATAACATTTTTACATGTTATTGTGTAAAGAAGATATGGAACACTGACACAACAAAAGCAAACAACTGAACATTAGAGAAATCGTTGGTGACGCAGAGCATAAACTACTGAGGCTCCTGAGACAGGAAACTTGTCCACTTCTGCGAAGCGTTATGTTAATCAGTACAATAGGAAATGGCTTCTTAAA